ACTGGAAGCCCCAAAGAACGAATTAATGTCTCCATGAGTTGGAAACTGTAGTTGAACTCCGGTTCATTCCAGTGATCAAAGTTACAGTGTCCCCACTCGTTTCTTACTTTCGAGCGCACATCCTTAGCATTTGCTTGGATGCACGCGTGAAACACGGATGATTTTGCCAGCACTCCTAAAACTGCTGACAAGTCGCATGTGTTATCAAAACCTGAAAATAGGCAATAAAATTTATACTATAAGTTAGCACAAGGAGTAAGATATGTTTACAAGATACATTATCAGTAGAAGTCTTCTGAAAGTCTTCTTATCTAAAAAGATAACTGCTGCATTGCATCGTTTAGTGCCCATGCCATCTCAGGTCAAATTCAGCCATTATTCAGTAGGCTCATTTAATTATTGTTACACTCTTGCGTAAGCCTGAAACTCCTGCTTGTAAAGGTAGTGACTCGACAGCGTCAAACCGCTGCCAAAGTTACCCTAACTTTACACAAAAACTTGAGCAGACTTCACATGTCATGGCTAAAAAGCGAGATAAAGCCGTAACCGAAAAGGGGATTTTACCATGATCAATTTGTGAACTGAAGAGAAAGATCGAGTCAAAGCATTAAAAAAGCCGTGTAAACGATATCCTGATCTGTCTGGATAGTTTCCAAGTTGCAAGTATGGCTCTTGACTGACTTCAGAGTCTCGTTGGGCCGAGAGTCTCTTCGACATGTGTATAACGCCAAGTACGCCAGGCGACCTGTGTCAGAGATTGACGCGCCAATAAGAAACTGCAGGCTGATCTGGAACGATTCCATATTCCCAGATTTGTTCCTTGTCATTATATTCCACTGTAAGTTATAATTAGCAAAAAGATCGACTAGAGATTCAACATTGGCGTGGTCTGTACTCTTAGCGACAAATTTTGACTGTGATGACGAATATCGTTGTCGATAAGAGTACAGACCACGCCAAACCACAGTTTGTTTTTTACCACAATATCAAAATGTCCAAGTCACCCATGTTTGACAGCTTGTAAAGACATTGCGTGACACGTTGACGCAAACAGCATTGTTTGTACTCCTGTCGACGATGGCAAATCGGCCAATTACATTGCGAAATTGGCGCCAATTTTCGTAACTAATCATTCACCTGTAAATTTCGCCATATGTGGTTCAAGGTAAAGTTTGGCCAGATTCTCAGCAGACGCCACTTTATAATCATATCGTTGCACTTTCCTCTTGAATCTTCCCCAGTTGTTGTTGATGCTGCCATAGTTTAAATCAAATGAACCATCTTTCTTCATGTGAGTGGAATAAACCTGTTTATCTATTCCACTGGAGCTCTTCAATGATGTGTAGTGTTTAGCAAGTTCCTTGCCCGCAAAGTCACGGAGAACTGGTAATAGTAGCCTATTTAATGTGATTCCAATCACAACCCATCTTTTTTGTTTGTCACCCAAATCAAAGCTGCTGACTGTAAGAAATTACAAAAGAATACAACAGTTTTTGCCACAGACTGAAATAGATCTCACTTGAAATGTAGGTTAACATTGAACTTTAAGATTTTAGGTTTACAATTGAAGCATTTGGGGAAATCTCACCATTGGTTTCGAGAAAGTTGCCAATTTCATAGACTATGAATACTCCTTTGTCTTTTCTCAAGCGAGCAAATACATACATCTATAATTCAACTTTTACTGTAATAGGGAAACGGTAAGTATTAAACATGCCTCCTCACTGCACCATTGAATGGGGCAAAAATCCAGAAAATGATGTTGGAAATGATGTTGGAATAATAACATTCTTGCCTAAACTTCGCCATTTGTGAAGTGAAGGCTCAAATATGAGGTTAGGCATGCAGGAATTGGCCTCCTTTTCCTCTTTATTTGGCACCTGGCATCAGTTTGTTTTCTTGCTTGGGCTTATAATTACTGAGAAGTAAGAACCATTCATACTGATCATGTAAACTTCCATGTGCCGAGGATACATTTTCATCAATTTTTTTCCTTACAAATTAATTTAACAGCGATCAAGGAAAAACATGATCAAAACAACGCTGAAGTCAGTGATCAGGGAAGGGGGGGTTCTTTTTAGTAATAGGCTAAAGGGGATGTGCCATTGGATGGGTTCATATCATAATTGTGTTATATTTTCAATAGAGTTACAAGAGTAGTGGTTGGAGGAAACACCAAATATAAACTAATATCAAGATCCTTCACTTTACACACACTTTACACACTTTATTTTCTTTTTCTTACAAAATAATTTAGATTATGTTGACCCGCAGATAGCAAATTTGCTATTCGAGGCGGGTCAATCAGAAGGCACTTCAGTGCCTTCAGAAGGCACTCTTACACTCCACTACCAATCCTTCATCAGATTGGGAAGAAGTTTGGCTCACAATAGAAGACTAAAGGTAACAAAAGCTACTTAAAGAAGCTTGGCAAAAACAAAAGCTAAAAACAAAGACAATTATATAATAACTTGTAATCCTGGTGCCAACAAAAGTTGTTTTTTGCTGTTGTCAGATGATGTATGCAATCAGGTGTCACTCTTTGTCGATAACTCCACACCAAAGGGGTAATCTTGTTCACAATTATTAATCATCGTGTTTGTTTTCTCTAAGGCTACACTAAGTCTTTTCAACAAATGGAGTTGCACATTTTCTGGATTTTGAGGCTAAAAAAAATTCCGGTAAGTAGGGATTCAAAAGTAGTATGATTCTTTACCCTTTGGTTGGAATCACAAAATTGCATTTGCCCAAAAGTCACTAAACTGGGGTCTATAACTGGCCACAGAATGCAAAATAATGGAGTAGGGGTTCTGAGAGGCCAGTGGCACAAACCCAGCAAAAATTGACCCAATTACCCCCCTACCTCCCCAGGGGTCAGTGGTATAATATTTTTTCTGAGTTACCAGACAGAAAATGTCAAAATTCTCCTGAAAACAGAACTACCTGCCACCCAAGGGCCCAGAAGGTGTTAATTAAAAGTAAATAAGAAAGTCATTCTACCCACCAGGGCCTGCTGCTACTGCTGAGGGACTGGTGAGAACTGTGGGTATGGCAGGAGGTCCTGGAAGTGTTGTTGGCACAATTAAAATAGGGGTTTTGCTTGTGCCTGTTGCCATGGCAGCCTAAAGAGTCATCAAAGCTATTAGCAAACTAAGTTATTAACATAGTTATGAATATGAAGCTATGCCCACATATTTCTTTCAATGCATATGAATTAATGAAAAAATAAGATACTGTAATCAATACATATGCAAAATAACGGAACTAAAATCATCAAACCTTTAGGGGGTCATAATCATGTTCCTTTTTGAGGAAGGGATAATAACAGAATCACAGAGGAAGGCACTACATTCTTTTTTCATCATCATTTTCACTTATTTAAAAAATAACACCACAAAGTTAGAATTAATTCATGTCAAAATATTGTACCTTGTAATCAAGTCCCCTTGAGGCTTATTGATCAAGATCAATTTACTCCATTTACTAACTCAGCTAAAAGATATAAAAAGTAGATAATTTTGTCCCTCATTTGCCAATTTTCTTTGTGCCATTGAGAAAAGCTAATACTTTTTATATCACAATGTGAAAGGTATATGACTCACATACTGTAAATGCTAGAATCAGTTGTCTGTGTTTAACAAAACTATTGCTGATTGACAAATCATGAGAACTGCATGATTGGTGAATTATAAGCTTGGTTAAATAGAATAAAGGAAACATTAGATACTTTCCATGAGTTGTTATATCAAAGAACACAATTTCTAATTCACAAGCTACAAGTGGAGTACTTTGTTGAGATTTGTTGTTTCCTCATTCATTCAGTGCTGAGGCTTTTGTAGCTCACAGTCAAAGCTCTGTGATTTTTTTCTCAATGTTGTCGACCTTTGATTGGTTGGAAGTTTTAATTGTGCCAGGTTCATTCTTCTTGAATAATCAATCACATTTAAGACCATTTCAAGCTAAAAATAAGAACTGGTGAATTCAGGCCAGAAAGTGGGAAGATATAATAATTATACAAACATTACTTACCGCTGGTTATAAGGGGTAGTAGTATAGGTATATGTTTATCACATCCTTTGTACCCAGTCCCGTTATTATCGTTTGTTTTGCCCAATCAGCATTTTGTTACACACTTTAAATTCAACTTTGTACTTTGTATCATTCTGAACTGAAGATGACAGAAGACCTGTCGAAACATGTTTTTTAATTTTAAACGTGTCGTTCATTTTCTTAAATTCGTTACATATCTGTTTCTATCCAGACCATTTAAGTATTACCAATTAAAACTGAACTGTAAATGTCGTTTGTCATCGATTAACCGAGGGTTTGACAGATATGCGTGAAGCATAACTACACTGAAAAAATATTACAAGATCGAATGAATTTGAGCATAGCCCATCCCCCTTAGTCGAGAAGAAGCTGAAGTCTGATCCTACTAGCTGTGCTTGCACAGGTATATTTGACCGTTTCGACTCATCCTTGCCAAACGTTTTGAATAGCATCCAAAAGTTTCAATTCACTTACAGGGGCTTAAAACATTTCCTTCACCCCGCCATCTTAGAGTGCAGTCGAATAACATCGTCAACATCGTCGGGAATTTTTATATTAAGCTGCATCCAGGGAACCCCAATCCTTCTCGACATGCTAACTTACCTAACAATAAAGCCTTGTATGTTATCTAGAGTAAGTTCCTCTAAAACTCGCAGGAATCAAGCATGAAATCTGCTTTCAATGCAATGCTGGCTCCCTACTACTGAACATTTTTGAACAAGTGACGTATTGGGTATTCCCCAAGTTTTGTTTTCGATTCCGAGAAAACCGGAAATACATGGAAATATAGGAACAGGACTGGAAGTAGTAGGAATATGGAACAGCGGACTTTACCAATACCATGTCACTCTATTGAAATAAGAGAAAAGGTGTTATTTCAAAGAGATGATCGTTTTTATCGTTGAAAATATAGGCTTTCATACACAGAGGTAGGTCAGAAAAATTTTTATTTCACGTGCAGGAAGCACAAAACCTAGCAGAGATGCTAAGCACCTCACCCTTATCACGCTCCAGTCCAGTTCCAAGGAAGCAAAAATTCGTGTTTATTGAAGCTACAAATTATATAAATAACAGGAGACATTATTGGTAAGTGCCTCATAATTCACACTTTAGTCACCGTAGTACTCAGTACTATCTTCAAAAGTTCAATTCTGCTGAACGGAATCGGTATCTGCTTCCAAATCATTATTCGTTTCCTTCTGATATCTTGCTCGTTCGTTGGCCATTGCAAGTTGTCGCATGTTCAACAGACATCCCGCGGCAGCTTCTTGTAAAGCTGCATCCTCTGAGCCGATCATCTCCAGCAACAGCTAAGAACAGATTGATTGATACTGATCAACGGTCTGACTGACTGACTGCTGTCAATTGTAATTACACTGAAAGCCAAATATGGATTGGAAGCCATCAATGACAACCAAGAGAGGGTATCCTTTCTTATCAAAATTTCAGAACGGTGAACTCTGATCCCTTTGAGGATACGAAAAAGAGAGCAAGAAGGATCTGGCTTTCTCTTACATTGTACTATTCCTTGCCATTATCATCGTTATTATTATCATTATCCGCACTTGTTATGATCATCATCATAAATATTTTGGCGCCATACGAAGCTATCCAAAGCTTTTGAGAAAAGAAATTGAAAACATGGGAAAATGAAAACATTTTTAAAAAAGGTAGTGTGATGAAAGTGATGAATGAGAATGAACACGGGTGAAGTACAAAAAATTGATGGTAAATTTAGGGTCTAAAAAGAAAAAGGTTAGGTTACTAAGCTCCTCTGAGATGCGAATGATAACCCAAAATACAAGTGTACTCTTGCTTCTTTCCACCAATCGACCGTTCAGTCGTTGTCTTAAGTCCTCAAAAACTGAACCTTACAGACGTAACATCTGTTACAAACATCACTGAAATTATAAAAACAACGCTATAATTCTGGCAGTCATTCTCGTCTACTGAACGTCTCTATTTTCACTTTTGCAACAGCCGTTAAAGAGAGCTAACACCTCTGTGTTACCTTGACAACCCCACTGCGGTGCATAGTGATGCAGCTATCAGGATGTTTGCCCAACTGCTCGAGAGCCCGCATTGCCGACCGCTGTACTATGATGTCATGTGACCCAAGGTATTCCACCATTCTTTCTACAGCTCCTTCCTGGGAGAATCGCTTCGCGTTGTTTCCCCATTTGCTGCACATGGCAATAGCTTCAGCCAAATGTCGCCTCAAAATGATGTCAGTCTGTAAACAAAACAAATAATTTCCCCTCAAACTGGTGAGCGTTTGTAGGCTCTCTTCGTACCCAAATCATCTCGGCAATCATATGGCAACTTAGTTCTATAGTAATGAGTTAACGACCTACCTTATGCGTGAGTTTAGCCAGGTGAGGGACAACCTCGTAATCAGTTATGACTCCCAAGTTCTCCCAATCACATGCCACAACTGATATCACTGCGCATGCGCTAGTAAGGACCTGAAAACGTTTCAATGCATTTAGTTGGAGTAGTCTAGAGTGATTTTTACTGACTGAAATTTTTTTCGCTGTCGCTCGTCAGCTATGATAAATAAGGGAAGAGAAAAACTAATTTGTAAGCTACCACGTGTAAAATGGTTGAACTGAATATATTAACAGAGATAACCTCCAAATCGGCAGACTTGAGCAGGCGAACAGTCAGATCCAGTCCCCCAACAAATGATCGCGCGGTTTCCCAGGCCTCCTACGAGGCAAAAAATGGTTGCGGTAGAATATTTCGTTGATAGCAATTTTCACATTCCATTATGTTGTGAGACGGTGATAATGCATTTTTCTCATACCGGTGTATCTTGCATCAGTCTGTATACAGCCCATGCTCCACCTGAGACCACCTAATCAACAGGAAAATAAGTCATACCATGAACAGGTATTAAACTGGATGTCTAGATAAATTATAATCAATTAAAGTTCTAAACGAAAATTCTTCTCACTTGATTGTTCCTTGACTTCATAAGAGACCACAGAAGCCTTAAGCCTTCCAATCTGTTGAAAACTCTGAAAATACGGACATAAATAAATGAGTTCATATTAGAATAATCGGGTCTTATGTTAGAATAATCGGTCTCCTTTTGAGAACGAGGCACATGGCTATTACTTACGCGCGGCAGCTACTGTTCGCAGCGCATGCCGCGATGGCTCTCGCCGCTGTACCAGTTAACTCTTCATTGGGGATATTCAGAATGTCCACTAAGGTTTTACATCCCTTGCATCGTAAAATTTCCAGCGGAGCCTTAGGGTCTTTGGCAATCTCTCCAATGGCTCCAACAATATGGAGTTGAACCTTTAGTGAAAAATGAGCAAAATTTAAGATATCATCAGTTCCCACTGAGGGAAGTGGGGGGGGGGGGGGGGAGGGGCAGTCTAGGGCATATTTATTGTATCAATGACCAAGTAACGTGTATTTCTACATACAACTCTCTGAACCCCAAATGTCAAGACAATTTAGGGTATCAAGAAAGTTAGGTGCCTAAACGTGTAACCTCAAACGTGATCCTAAAAAAAAAAAAAATTACTGATATTTAAAACTTGAAATCAATCGGTTTGTTACCACACAATCTCGAACAGTAAAGGAAAATTTCATGCTGCATCGCCATATTAATTATGGATTTCTTTTTGACCGAGCCAGTAAAGATTTTTGACACTTACTTGTTCAGGGAGGTCCTCTTCGTCTTCTTCATTCTGAAGTAGATTAACAAGTATTTCTAATACCTTCATCTCCATCAACCTAGATCAAGAAAAAAGACCTCCAGCTTTTTTCGCCACAGAGGTACTCTTACGAAAGTTGGAGTTAAAAGCTCTAGGAATTCGATCCTTCTTTTAAACCGTTTTTAAACCGCTAGTTTTGCGGTTTCAAATGAGTCATGCAGGCCGACAAGACGACAATTTACTAAACGAAGACACAAAATCCAAGGTTGTGTTCCCAGAAGAACAAAATTCTACCCAAGTGACCGAAGCCAAAATGCTTACTTTTTGACATTGTAATCGCTGATAGCACATTTCCAAATTGCACCTGTTACGGCCGCCAGCAGCTTCTTATTATCATGGCGGGAAAGAAGTGAAACAAGCGTGTTCAGGCCCCCGCAGTCATATACAGCTTTCCTTGTTTGTTCGTCGACAGCACACTACGGAGAAATTGTGGAAAAGTTAAACAGACAAGAGAAGAGGTAGTGAGTTAGGTTCATGACTTGAAATACATAGAATGGAGTCCCTTCGTCTGAAACTCTGAATGTCTCTATCTCTCTGTCATCGTTTCTAGGCACGATTCTTTGATCAGTCGTAGCGCTGGCCAAAAGGATCGCAGCCATGGGGTTGAGTGTGAAAACTTACCTTGAATATGGCGTTGGCGCAGTAACCCTGAAGTTCTTCGTTGTCGGTCAACAGGCGACGAACGATCGCTGCTATCATTTTCTCTTTGTAGAAAGCCTGTCTGAAGCGAGTCTGACAATGAGAAGTGATGATAATGAGAGATCTAATTCAACCATAGCAATTAAATCAGCGACTTTTGATTGAGACGCATTCGATACAAAGTAAGTTGCGTTTTCACTGTTATTTTGAATAACTTTCAATTGAACGTTGCTGTAAGAGTGGATAGTAATGTAAGAATTATTCAGTAGAGCACATAACATGTATATTATTTAGTTACGTTATGTCTTAATGAAAATCACCTCCACTGCACATTCTTGAACAAGTCCTACGATAGGAACAAGGAACTCGTCTTTGTCCATGGTAATTAGTCTGGCTAACATTGGTACGCTTCCGGCATTGAAAATTGCTGATCTAAGAGGAAAAGATTAGAAAATTTCTTCTAAACGTACCGTATTTTGATAAGAAATACTGTCGTCCTTATTCGCAGTTTTTGTCCACCTATGCTACTTATGTAAAAGTTACAACCAAACACACTTGACACAACCGACCTACTGCGCGTGCTCTTGCTGCAGCTCCAAAGCGCAAGGGCAGCATTACGTGCAACTTCAAGGTCCGCTCCAAGTTGGCCTGGAGACCCATTACCAGAAAGTTTCCTTCCAGTAGGTTGTCGTTCTTCGTAGTTTAGCAGACCAACCTAATACAAGAAATGTACGCATTTAGGAGACTTAGAGGATAAATGGTCACGTGTTGTACGCTTGGATCGTACTTTCTAGAATCTATAAATTTGCAAAGATGCTTTCAGCCGGAGGTCATCCACTCTCCAATGTATGAAGCGACCAGGAGTATTGCACCCCTCCCAGGATGAGACGCCAGTCCAACGTGGATTACCTCCTCAATATTTTGTTGGGTTTCCGCAACAGTTCCCTGTACCCATTTATACTCCAGAGTGGAAAGAGGCACTGGGGAAAGTGACTTGCCCAGGAACACAACACAGTGACTTGGCCAAGACTCGAATCTACACTTCTGCCCGTGTATGGTCCCTTGGAAATATATACAGGTCCCTGAAAATTGTGTGGGGAAACCCAACGAAATGCTGGTAAATATAATATATACATGGTAATGTTGGATTTAATTTCTAGCTGATGCTTAGCATAGCTCTTTGAGAGTAACTTCGTTTCCTTGAAAAGCAGAAAGAAGAGAGTACTGGAAAGTTTTTTACTGGGAAGGTTTAAGACCCTTTGATCTAAAAATTTTCCCAGCTCCTGATCTCACCAATTTTTGTAATCCACCATGTTTTTTTAGAATATTTCTTCCTACACTGGATTTTGCCATGTTAGCCAAGTTAGCTGCCGCTAAACTTTGCACCTCCTTAGGAGCATCAGTTATGAGATCGATCAGGATCTGAACGCCTACAAAACGAAAGATCATGGTTGAAATGAAATTATCCATTCTGATTGAGATGTTAAACTTTGTTTTTCAAGTATGAGATGAAAAAAATGCTATCACTACGCTGACTGAGATACGTTTGGGAGTGAGGTCATTTATAAGACTCATCTGTGGAAAAACCGTCCTGTCATCTGCAAAGAACGACAATGTTGGAAGAGGCAACTCCTGATCTCCGGTCGAAGAAATATATCACAAAAAAAAGTGATTTGATAAAGATTTGAAAATTTCTGAAATTTTTTGTTTAAGTCTCTAAAATGGAACCTGTGTTATTGACAAAGGGCATTGTAACAAGGTTTTGAGGGCTTTAACTCTTAAACCCTAAGAGTGACCAGTATCTAATTTCTCCTAACAATATCACCCCTGAATCACACATAAAGGTCACAGGAATAAAGGGAATGATCACCAACTATAGAAGCTCTTGAGTATTAAACAAATTCTCCTTGTCAGCGCCTTAGGAAATGTATAGAGAGCGGTAGGGAGAATGTGCATGTTGTAGGTATAGGGTACAAAGGGTTAAACTAACCTCCCATTTTGATAACAGCTCGCCTGTTGTAGATGCTACTTATAGTCAACTGTTGGAGAACCTTCAACGCACCGATCTAAAAAACCAGAGGATAAATTAAATGTCAATGGGACGGGTTCAGTTGAAATTTTAAACTGCGTAGCCCTTTTTACTTAAGCTAAGGCGATTGGCGATGTACCGATCAAAAAGTTATGAAAATACAATGATTCATATTTCTGCTTCCAAGAAAACCATATTATGTTACATAGTCCATCCTGTGCCGTTTGCTGTTTCATTTGCCAATATTGTGCGTATATTTCTTTGAAGCACGTGTAAATAAATCTCTTCCTTTCAGTCTGAATTGTCATATCTCTCCCCTTCCGGTTCCCCGCGCCTCTTCTGAGGGGTTAGGCGGGGTGGGGGTGAAGAGGGAGGGGGGGGGAATCTTCTATTTGTTTAGTTGAGATCTAGATATCCACCGTCCAAAAGTCGTCAAGATTGTAATGCGTGTGGTTGATTGTTGTTCTTTGATCGGTAGTAATAATAAGAAACAGCATCAATTCAAACCTGACAATTCTCGTGGTCTGTTCTGAGAATATTAACAAGAACTGTCAATCCATTCACATCGCGAATGGCCATTTGGGTCATTTCTTGAGTTAAGTTGAAATCCGTCAGAGCACACAATGTGATGACCGTGGCGACTTGGTTACCATTCTGAAAACAGGAAAATGATTATGGGAAATATGAATCAGTTGGATAACATTTTTTTTTGTATCAGTGTGAGTTCCATTTGTTAGATGGCATACTCTCACCTTGAGGAACCTGACCAGCCTTTGTATTTGCCAATATTCTGAGGGAAGGTCAGCTACGCCCTGTAAAACAAAGAACAACGTAAAACAATTAACCATGATAAACGCACAATGAAAAAAGTGATATATTTGTTCGCTCGTTAGTTCTTTTGCGTTCTTTCTTCCCTTCGTTTTTTCATTTGTTCTTTCATTCGTTGCTTCGCTCACTCGCTCATTCGTTTATTCGTTCGTTCGTTCGTTCCGTCAATCGTTCGCACGCTCGCTCGCTCGCTCATTCTTTAATTCGTTTCTTCTTTGAGTCAATTGCTTGTTCGTTCGCTCGTTCGCTTATTTGTTTGTTCGTTCGTTCGTTTTCTCGTAAGCTCGCTCGCTCGTTTGTTCGTTTCGTCAATCATTTGTTTTCTCGTTCGCTCACTCACTCGTTCGTTCGTTCCGTCAATCGTTCGTTCGTTCGCTCACTCGCTTATTTGTGCGCTCGTTCGTTTTCTCGTTCGCTCGCTCATTCGTTAGTTCGTTCTTTAGTTCGCTTGCTCGCTTGCTATTACCAGCTATTCAATGCACATGCTCACCACTTTCCCGTCTAGCACCCGGTCATCTTCTTCTTCACTCTCGGTTGAACTTTCCGCAGGCTCCGATGGAATTCTGAACAAGGTGGACCGCCGGCTTTGCAAGTTTTGCTTGTTGCTACGGCTTACAATAAAAAACAAATGAACAATGAACTAGTGAAACAATTTTTCCCAAATTTTTTACTCGTAGACTGAACTTTTAACTCGATGAATTGAATGAGTTAATAAATGGATGAGTGAACGACAAAGAAAAAGTCGCAATCAGACCACCAATTTCGTGAAGGTGACAAATTATAATACAAGTGCGATCCGTTTTCTTACCTTTCTTTGCGGTTTAGTTTTGATTTCGGTTGTGGTTTGTTGGTTTCTTTCACCTCTTCATCACTACAACAGTTAGGAAAAACAAGATACAGCGGCTATTATAGGCCCAGGTAAACATTTTAAGATCCTGAAGTTCAAATGATAACTTCGAGAAGAAGAGATTTCAAGATCGTGGTTTAAATGGACTTCCGTATGAGGTCTTTGTCAGGTGTACTTTAACCCTTTTACTCCCATGAGTGACCAAGACAGAATTTCTCCTTACAATATCAATACAATATCAATCAGACAAGTGATGAGAATAAAGAGAAATATCAATTAGGCGATCGTTAGTTGACCCAAGACCAAATTCTCTAAACTAACATCATAGGAATTGTATGGCAGATAGTAAGGAGAATTACTAATTAGATCTTGGGAGTGAAAGTGTTAAGCATTTCTTGGAGGAAAGTAAGACTAGTGCGACAAACCACATTGTTGAATAATCAGGGAAGGCTTGCAACACACAAAAAATAAACAGGCTCAAAGTCTGTTGCCTCTTACCTGTCATCACCGACAACCAGCCTCAAGTTTTTCCATTTCATAGAAGGTTTTCGCGGAGTAAACTGCTTCTCGCTTTTGGGCGTGTTTGTTTTCTTTTTCACCTTTTTTTTCTCTGGTTTTCTGCAAACATTATTTTAGTCAAAATATATTATTTTATTATTTTTTTTATACAGTTCATTTCAGGACAATATGCTTTATGATGCCATGGCTTGCTACGTAGCTCGGCTAACGACACTCATCAGTTTGACTTTAAGACAACAGAAATGTAGGACGCACCTTTCTACTTGTTTTTCTTCCTCTTCTTTATTTTCTGCCACATCATCTTCAGTTTCACTACTGCTCAAATATTTGTCAAGGAAGGAACTCTATAGGTAAATATGCAGTAAAAGTTGATTCACCTTAGCTGAGAGTGTCTCAGTCAGGTCTTCTAAAAGCAAGATTCCCTCCCTCATCGTAAATTCCGGCATCTGATTGGTTAAAACTGGTGCATTGAACCCAGATCTAGGGTAAGCTGCGCTAAATAAGTTTTCGCGCCAAATTACGCGGCTGCATCATGGTTTAAGCCCGCTTCAAATCATAGTTTGTACTATGGGCTCACTGATAATCTCTTACAGGGGACTATGGAAGATTGACTGCCAATGAGGAGGAATCATTAGAATGCTAGAGCGCCTTATGGGGGGATTAGGTAAATATTACTGTTAAAATCCTCCGACTCCAGGCGATAAGTAATAGCGGGTCCGTAATATTGTTCGCAGTCATTCTTTCGTAATTTTGCGTATTGCAAATCTTTGCAGTTGCGTCGTCTTTTCAGGAATCAGAAACATGACCTATCACCCATAATGCCCTGATAGGTGAAGCTAACACTGCGCTCGCTCTTTTTTTATTCAGGATCTTACCTGTTTCTTTTCATCGGTAGTTTCCTTGTTTGAGGAGTCCACTGCACCCTAAGGGTTATTCACATTTCATTTTAACTTTTGCTATAAGTTTAAGAGTGAAAAAAAATGGGAAAAGAAACAAAATTCTGATTGACTTTTGGAGGGAAATCTCGAGAAGGCTTTAGTATTAATTTTGAGTCTTTTTTAATTTTAATTTTTGGTATCATAGACAGAATCTATAGGAATACCTCATGGAAAAAAGGGGTAAGTTTCTAAAGAAACTGTGGTCCTGCTTCGGTGGGAGAGTATAACAGGGTAATTTAGTATTATTAACTGAGTCGATAACGTAAATTGGCCTCCGTAAACAGTTTAAAAGCTGACATTTCAAGCGTTAGTCCTTCATCAGAGCGACGAGCTGACGCCTTGCCCAGCGAGCACAGTATTAAACAACAGTAACGTTTCTCATACTTGTTCCGAGGCGGTCGTGGATTCTATCGTTGGGTTGCTTTCACTTTTATCCTGAATCTCTTTGTTATCCTGCAAATTTCAGAAATCGAAGAATGTACATAACGTCACAGCATACACAGTTATGTGGGCGAGCTGACTTGCAACAAAAACTCACTACTGACAGATTTCCATGGAATTCTAGTATACTTGCCTTGATCTTTTCGTCTTTGTCAGGTTCGAGCGTTGATGAGTTAATCTGAGTTTCGGCGCTGCTTTCCTTTCCAACAATCTCTGCCATCTCCTATTAAAAAATAAGATAATAAGTTAAATTACTTAGTCAGCTTTATTCCTAAAAGTTTACATTGTTGCCGCTCCCTACAACTCATGATAGTTCGTCTCTGGAAGTCTTCGGGAAGTCTTCGGGAAGTCTTCGGCCATTCTCGGCCATTCTTGGTCTGATATCAACATACGCAAAAACGGTTGAACCAACCTCAAAGCGCGTGTCCATTTCATTGTCATCGACTTGTGACATCATGAGTTTTGATCTACAATTTACAAAGACACAAAAAAGCATAGATATTATTCTACTATCTGATTGTGATGGGACGGATCCCAAAAGGAACGCGTCATTCCAGGTCATTCCAGTAGCCCGAATTGTATAAATTGCGTTTTATTCGGGCAATTTATAGCCCGCCCTGAGCTGACACGGCCCACAATTTCCACTGTGGAGGCAGATTGAAGAATCAGGCTTTGTTTGTCAACAGATTATTTTATGAAACGTAGCGAGAAATATCCATTATCCTCGTTAATATGCATAGAAGTCATCCTCTTTCTATTTTTAAAGTTTACGATTCGAGTCATGATACCTCAAAATCGCTACATTGGCAACAGAAAACAGCGCATGCATGCAATCCTATGCTGCAGAATATGGACTGCAAAAGTTATGATCGATGTAAAAATTAACTGCGCACAGTCGACCTGTAAGAAAGACAAATCAATGGAAAGAATCAAGTGTTTTTTGTTGAGCTATTCCACTTCATGAACTGCTTGTTATATAGGACAAAACTTTCAATTTAGTATCAAAACATAACTAGAATCTGCAGCCAGTGTTGACTCACCTTACAACTTTCGTTTGCATATGGAGGCGAAGAGGCGCAGGCGTTGAAAATTTAATTTGGATATACTGCATATTTTCAAGTTGTCAAGAATGACAAGAGTACTGTCATTTTTCACAATTTTCTTTCTCAGTGCAAAATTTACAAGATATTGTTTAATCCTGACAAACAATTTTGGAAATAATTCGCAGTTGGATTTTTTAATACTAGAGATTTTATAATCTCTTGTTATTAATATTTTCTTGCTCATGACACTGAAATGCTTTGTTTCTTGTTTGCAAACGGAACTCTCAAATTGTTAAAACAATTTTTAAACTTATATGTCAAATCTGCAAGTTACGCAATATTTGCATTTCTGATCTCTCGAAATTACACCAAATTAATTTGTCGATAAACATAACGCTTAAGGCTTCGTCGACCGTTAAATATATCGCTGTATTAAAATTGTTAACCGCCAGACATTTCTTTTATCATTGTACTTCGGTGTTAATTTAAAATTCGCGGCAGTCAGTTGCAAAATAAATAGCTGAAAATAACATTTAAGATTTGCTGACCTAGAGTACGAATCTAGGACACGGTTGAATAATTTTTTCTGGATGAAAGATTCAGATTTTAATAACTATTTTGGTACGTCTTTATACAACGGTCAAATCTTTCTTCAGCGCGTGAGAAATAATGTCCTTTCCCTCGCGAAGACGATTTTAGATTTGCATGCAGCATTTGTTTTACAATTTTTTGCTCAATGTCTGAAATGTTCAGTGTTGAAAATCTCACGAAAAGAGCTTGCGTGAAATAATATTTTCAATAATTTACATGGAGTTATATCGTTCATCGCTTGAGTTTTGAAGAACCGACATTGACAAGTTCGACATTTTTCCGACATTTCGTTTAGATATCATGTCAGTTGTCTGAATTACATCCGTACTTTGTCAAATAGCCAACAATTTTATTTGAAAAGATTTATACTACTGCCCTCTTATGCTTTCCAGAATTTTTAACCAACGCTTAAATTCTTTTGCGATACAAAATATTAAGATACAATATTTTTGATACTTACCTATGAAAGAACATAGAACATTGTAATACGATCGAATAAATGTATACCTACCTACAAATTTAAAACGTTTGTTTTCCTCTAAAGTAATTTCAATATTTCAAATCGTGTCATTCGTGTACTTATATAAAGGGAAGATGTATACTGGATAGCTTTCCTTTAGGGTTCCCTTCACCAGCACCTAAAAAGTATCCACATTTTAGCATCAACGCTTAAAATCGATGATGAGTCAAAATGTTGACGATGTTTAGGCCAAACTGTAAGCAGCTAAGGACAGTGTTGGTATCCATGGTAACTCATGCGTGTCGGTAGCAGGTGCTTCGAGTGACTTAAAGAAAAAAATTGACACTTTTGCTGTTTAAAATGTGTAACATTCCACATGATATCAATATTTCATATGTAGTACATTTTGCGAAAAAAAAAAAATCTTTCCTTGGCTTACGTTGGAAGAACAAGATTAGAATGAATTAGATACATTTTGGATTTTTCAGTGGGAATTTGCTTCAACTATTTTGGCTTGACTGTTAACATATGAAAATCATGTATGTGAACTGCGGATTAAGAAATGAATATTAAAGTGATCCAGCTCGCAGTTGGCTGGTTAGATCAGTTGATAGAACATTGCATCGGTATCGCAAAGGCGAGAAAGAGAAAAAAAAGGGAACATTGCTTACACATCACAATACTTTCACTGTGAATCTGCTTGCATTCCTCTAATGCAGAAAGGAACAACGACAGTTTTTTGCGATTATCTGTATTTTTACCATGTACAGACGTGATTAAATGTTTAACAGAATATTGGACGGGAGACATTATGAAAAGAATCTATAGGAGTTTTATTAAAAATGGAATTGACTTCCCTGCCGCTAACTACACATTTAATTTCAATATCTCAACACTTACTTGATCAATTATGGAATGGCATAGTTACTTTACAATCTAACGTCATCACGAAGGCAATTTTCATGGTATATATACACACACGGCTCTTACATGAGCAAAAGATGCAAGGTCTCGTTTTGAACGTCTAAGGTATTGAGCTTGTTACTGTTTAAATATGAATAGTGAATAAGTCTTTGGTGCTCGACAGCTGAGGAGTATAGAAAGGACTGGGCAAAGTTATAAACGAGATACGTCACAGATAGGAAATAGTAGAGGAATAATGATCAGATTGGTAAACTTCGTCGTTCACAGAGAGCGTAGTAAGCATTCAATTAACCTCTCTTGGTATTAATTTTTATATATCTTTCTTTGTCTTTTTTCAATCTGTGATTAAGTTGTCATGCATTTTTTGTGAACATAATTCGCCAGATCCATTAAATGGTCTTCAACAGCGTTATCAACCGGTTTAAAAGGCCGATAACCTTCTTGTTTCTCTACGTTTTGTTTCAGCAGACTACTGTGTTTCAGGAACTCTGTGACGTCATTCTGTGGTATTGCTACTCCTCTAAAGTTCAAATTTTTCGATGCTTTGCTGGGTTCCGGACTGATAGCTTGGTCCCCTGGGGGTGGTAATGAGGAGCATGGTTTGACTTTGAGCTGGTCTGGTTTGTTTTGCATTTCTTGTTGTTGTTTCTTCAGTTGACGATACTTGGCGCGCTTGTTTTTAAACCAGACCTGAAAGAGGCGAGAAGGAATCGATACTATCTTATAAAACAAAAGGAACAGTTTACTTGTGATAAAGGCTTCTAAGTCACAAAAGTAATTGTAAACAATACTCAGTTCTTTGATAAGTGGGATGGAAATTATGTGGCTGGTGATGAAGGTAGTAAAAATTCAGAGTTGCATCAAAAAGGGGTTGCTCGGTTGTTCATTCAGGTAAAGTACAGTAGTAATTAAATCTCTATTATGAGACGGCAAAATCATAAGATGAAAAGTAAAGTGCAACTGCAATAAAATATTATCCGATATATCACTAGATGGTTTCATGTGCAGCAATAACGGTTCAACGAGGTGAGACAACGCCACAAGGCGCTGAAAATTCCAAGAGCCATTCCATTTTCAATTGACCAATCAAATTTGATCGCGTGACCGAGGTTTCAAGTATCCGGAATGTACTCGAAAGATCAGGAAGTCCATTAAAACTTCTCATGACTCACGGAAAATTAATTTACTCGCATGCGATTCTAGCAAAACTGTGACTAATCAAGGTTCAAAGTACATTTCGATTTCAGATTATTTTACCCTAATGTAACAACGCGATTATCGAGGTACCAAGGGATGTTTTTTGCAAATTATGTATTAAGCTAGTGGGCTCGCGTGCTGACGAGAGAGCCAGTTTTGCGCCATCGTATAATACCATTATCGCATACTACACTTCTTAGCAGCTCATAGACTAAGCTAATAAAGAAAGAAAAGGATTAATGCTGGATTAAAAAATCGTTTGCGTAAGTTTAATTGGATGCCCCATATGGAGCAGAGCCTACTTCAATGATAGCTTCAATCCCTCAATTGTTAGATTTGAGCAGAGCAACAATGATGTGTTTATGACGATTGGTTGTAAGTTTTCGTTTTTTTCATTTATTTACTTTTTAATAGAGTAAATAAGTTTGATTCCAAGGTTAGGAAGACTTAACTAGTAAAATAAAGGTGCGCTACAGGAATCAAAGTTGACAGAATTTGTATAATTAATTACCAAAAATAAGTTGGAAAACAACAACATAGGCAAACAAACAAGCAAAGGTCAAATGCAAGACTGATGGGCATTCTGGGTATCAAAAAGAAGAAAGCGATTTAACTGACAAACACAAACTGTGGTTGGCATATTAAGAAGAGATTTTTTTTTTTTGCCTTTGTTATATTCAAAGTCAGTTCCTTCCCGGCTGCGGTACCTGAGTCAAATCCGACCGGGGAAAAACAAAAAAACATACAACAAACTGAAACAAGTTTTCCTACCTGTACTCTGCTCTCTGGCAGATTGATTTTCGTGGCGACGTCTTCTCTCATGAAGATATCAGGGTATTTTGTTTTGCTGAAGAGATCCTCTAGGATTTCAAGTTGAGCTTTAGTAAAAGTCGTTCGCTCCCTGCGTTGCTTTCTTGGAGGACCTGAAAAAAAAATAGGGGTCGAAAAAAGAAATGTTGACTAAGAGAGTTCAGAAATATTTATTTGTATAAACAGTATTTAACAATTGTTAAGGAATTGAGAATTGTGTATGGATATTCAACCGGGAGACTTAAACTATTGAGGCCCACACACCTGGACCACAGTTCGGTATCATACAGAGGTTCATAGCAAAATGGCTGAGGTTTTTTATACTTTTAGTTCCAAGATGTTACAATGATATCCTCTTGCTTCCAGTATCCTTATTACCATTCTGCACGACACACCCCTGATATTGCAAAAAAAAAAAAAACAAACAGAAAAAACGACTCATCAATTATTCCTGAGAGTCAGAGAAAAGAAGCGTGGATGCTAGCAACACCAAATATGATCGTAATGTGAGCACCTTATGTTCTTAACGATAAGAAAATAAGTGTAAGTGAAGATGGAGTATACAAGTGGGCCTTCTTTCAATGCATAAAATAACCTGGATTGAAACATGCTTTGGCAATAGAAGATGTCTTTTATAAAGCTGTGCATTGTAATACTTGAGGCTCAGCAATAAAATTGTCGTTATACACCAATATTTTTCAATTCTCTTGAAGATTCTGCTGGTCAAGCTAAACGACGTACAGTTTCTCTTTTTTCTCTACCAGATTTTTTTAAGTTTAGATTTTAAACAAGTTCTGTCATTTGTGGCCAAAGAAAATTGATGAAAATCTCTGAGAGTAGGTTCACAGCCCCATTATTGATAATCATAATCTGCCATTATCCCTGATTAGTCCACTGTAACGAGCCGAACCCATTCCTTTCATAATATTAAACGATCAGAGTAATTGGAGAAAAGACGCTGTCAATTTGAAAAGTGGAGTCTCACAACTTAAGGTTTTGCGAACATTTGAACAAGAAAAATCCCTAGTTAGCATAAATTAGGCTGAAGCCTTCCTGGCAAAAGCAACACATTTGCTCAAACTACTTTTCCGTTGTGTTTACGTAACTGATACAATCAAACCCTGCTTCTTGCTTTGTAGTCGATCAAATGCTTGCACTTAAATTGCCGAACAAGAGAGATCCGTGCTTGAAAAAAATCTTAGTTCATTCTGGAAACAGTTGACCAAAAAAACACGATGATATTCTATGTACCTTCAATGAATGGTCTTGATGCTAAACAGTGAAAACAGCCCCAGTAAGGTGGGCAACTCATCCAATTAAGCGCCATAACCAGTCAAAAAATGAGGATGTCGATCCTCACGCTGCTAAAGGGGTGAGTGGCAAAGTGCTTCTAGTCTCAGCAATTTGTTGCTTTAAATTTAAGGATTTGTGAGAATAGTTTCACCCTGAGACCTTTTTACACATCTCGTGATATTACTTTTCATGCGCTTTTGGTCGCACAGCTCTCTAATTTATGGGATTACTACCTTAACTTATATTTGCTTTAAAAAGATAATTCTCGAGTCTTTGAGGTTTGAGGGACACTTTACTTTAACTCGATTAATGAACAATCTACTGGTAATGTTAAATAGGGCAATCAAAAAATCGCTCAAAGTCACGAGAGAATCTACTGACTCTGTTACCGACACTCAAAACAGGAAGCACGTGCCAAGTGAATTTCGTTGCTATGGAGACAACTGGGAGGGGATCTTCTTGGAATGCCAAAACTTTCAAAGGGAAGAAGGATTCTTAAAAAAAAACCAAGTGTAACCGAGTTAGGGGAAAGATTATTTAATAAAAAATGTGCTAAACCGAGCAGATTACAGCAAAACGGAAGGTTTGACTTGAAAAATGCGCCTCTCTGGCTAGTCAGGTACTCAGAGAAAGAGCATCGAGGGATTGTACCTTAACAGAATAGTGTAAATAGCTTTTTATGAACATTGTGTTCGGTTAAGATTAGCAGTTTCCTTCTTAGTAGAGGCTTACACTTCAGCGTTGTACAAAAATGATTTTAACACACGAAAGCGCAAAACTTTCCCTTCTCGTGAAACTTCGCGAAACAGAAACTACATCAAGGTAGTAGGGAACGAAAACGCTTTGATGTGAACTGTACCAGACTGTTATTTTGTATGTCTAGTTTCGCTTTTAATAGCGTGAATCTGCTCGATGTGTGAGTTAGATCGGAAATTCACTTACAAATGTAAAGCATATTGACCTGAGAGGTTAATATAATGTACCTTCGTATTTGAGTGTCTCGAGCTTGACAAAATCCATATTGAACGAGTTAAAACCAAAGCCATGCATCAGTGTAAGATTTGCTGTACCAGGCGGAAGACGTCCATACGGGCCTGCCATTTCTGTGACTTTCGTTCAGTTTTCCTGTTTGTCTCAGAAAGAACCTAACGGATGATAGAAAACTTTAGATACAACTATAATTGGCTTAAAATATTTGTTGGCTTTAGTCCAGAACTGAGCTTAAGTTCAAGGGTTCAGTGACGTAAAATGTTCGGTTGCTGATCAGTAAATTCTGGCCTAATGTTACGAAATAAAAAAAAGTTTTTTTTGTGCCATTATATTCGATAAAAAAATATGTCTATTTACATTATCTTGCCTTAGAAATATTAATTCTGTTGTCACTTCCTTTCCTTTCTGTCCAGTTAGCGAAACAAACAAGAATCTGAGCTGATTTTCGTCGCCGATTTCTCTCTGTGTTGGCAACGCCAAAAGATTCAGAACGGTTAGAAACAGGTATAGAAAGACGGACGTGAGTTCTGACAGTGATGAACTCTATATTTCTGACCGAAACAAAAAAAAGTTCCCTTCTCTCAAGTTTCAGCCAGGAATATCATATGTTATTATTGTAGTGTATTCCCTGAGGCACTGATAACCCATCTGTAGCCTCTGTCTTGATAATTGTTTTTGAGAAAAACAAAACTTTGTTTGGTCTAAAAATCTAGTGGAATTTTCAGCTGTGGGTAGTAAGTTAGATAACTATGGACGATTTAATAAAAGAAGGCTGTTGCACGGTGATAAGTGCGCGTTGATTTGCACAAAAACTGATTAATGAAATTGGAAACATCCAAGTTTCTTCAGCCGGAAAAATACATCGTGCTGAAGTGTGAGGGATAAAATTTTCCATGCTATTTCCGAGATCATCTCCTTATTCGAGACTAAATATTTTAATTTTAACGTTGAACAGTTATATCAGACAGCCTAAATGTCTACCCATAAAGTGGACGCCGAAATAATCGTCACATTTCAGGGAGTTCATAGTGATAGAGTTGGTATTTTGATCAAAGTTCGAACGGGGGGGGGGAGGAATGAGGCTACATAGGTTACACAGGTGTACGCCGTCCAAAGGGTATGGTTGAGATTTTGACTATCATGGTCTTATATCGGATGTCGTTTTCAAGGGAACCAGGCAACTCACCCTTACGAAGAATCTCTAGGAGTGCCCCGGACCTAATCGACGGTTTATCGGAAGGACATATCTAAGATCGGACGCAAATAAGTCTGTTTGTCTAAGAAGAAGACGAGAAGGGATATTGTAACAAATGACTGACATTAACCGACGCCTCCAAAATGAAAAAATACTCATCAGTTTATATATTTACCCTGTGGCTACCAGCTTTATCAAGCCACGAGACTACAGTGTTTTTGCATGTTTTGTGTGATAATTTATCGGCTATGATTCAGTTATTCACTGATTATGATCTCAAAGTGACTCGCTCTACACTCTTGGACAGGAGAAAACAAGCCACAACACATTACTCCATTAAAAGAGTAATATTTTGACATCTGATATAATTTTATTTTCATTGTCATTACCGTCCGCCACACACATAGAAGCCACAGAATATTCGATTAACGACAACGAACCTTTAAAAAGACACCATTAACCCTTTCCTTACTGTCTGCCATACAATTCTTATGATGTTAGTTCGAAGAATTTGGTATTGGATCAACTAATAATCCCTTAATTGATATTTGTCTTTGTTCTCATCGCTTGTCTGCTTGATATTGTATTGATATTGTATGGAGAAATTCTTTCCTGGTCACTCAAGGGAGCATGTTAGTTTAAGTTCTAGAGGCACGCGAAAGTCTCAAGGTATTCTCAAGGGCTTAAAAACAATAAACAAAGAACAATACTCCTTATCAAAGGCCTCGTGATTCTTGTGCGCCTGTACATGTTTGGTGAAATCATCTTCCGTATAAAGCATACTCGACGTGTTCATAAAATTGACCAGTTACGAGCTGCAAATTTCTTAGGACATTTGATAACCTTGTACTTTAACCCTGAAGGCAAATGTCTCCCACTGTAATGAATGTTTGAGATATATTTTTGTGTGTTATTTTTAATTATACGACTGAAGATTGAAGGCATCATATAAATTACAAAGAAGAGTACTGAATAGGAGCTCTGAAGGAAACTGTAGAACCAGAAAACATTAAACAATATCAATAGGGAAGTAATGATTTTTCTTAAAAATCACTCTTGGACACTGAAAAAAAACCGTTAAATTCAATTTAACAGGTGGGAGGCTTTTCTGCGGGTGAAATTCTGCTCACTCAACGTAGGAATACAGATGATAATAGCTCGCATGCCGACTTGTTAGCTATATCATCACGTGTGTATAGCTGGCACAAATAAACAAATCCTTTGCTTTGAGTTAAACTTTGTTGGGAGAATTGCCAACGTTGAGTATTCAAAAATTTAAAAAAGCCCTGAAAACTACAAATTCAAATTACTTGTAGCAACTCTGCATATATCGAACTTCCTTACCTACAGGTATCATTTTTTTTGTTCAATAAAAACATTTCCTCGAAAGTTTTTGCAGCAATGGCATCGCAACACATATATTAAAAGGGTTCAAACAAACATAGCCAATTTTTTTTAAATTTATCTTTGAATTCTTTTTTGCAATCAATCAATCTTATCTTCAGTAGCCGTTCTTTTCCTACGTTTTCATAGATAGATAAATAGATTATATTTATTTATCCGGCCACGTTCGATTCATCAGCAATAGTTAATGAACCTTACTTCGTCATGGTTCATGAAAGTGGAAAGAATATCTTGATCAAGAATTTGAAGCTTGGTCATTGAGTCACGAGTTAACAATCAACTTTTCTGTGTCTGTCTTCAAGAAGTCAATTGATACAGATTCAGTAAGGGAAAAAAAATTTTTGAGTGAAAAGAACACCGAAATATCAGAGACCATTGTTTTGAATTGTGACCTTTTCGTTTTTTTTAAAGAAATTATTGACATTGTACATCATTGCTATTATCTCTGTCTTTAGAATTCGTGGTCTTCAACTAAACGATGACTCTGAAAATTAACATACTTATAGTTTCCTACTTCACAGACACTTGTCATAGGATTAGTGAGAGAAGTTTTCGCTCGAAGACCATTGTTTTAAATTTTCCAATTAAACTAATGTGGAATTCGAGCCGATATAGACAGACAAGATATAAAAATAACAAGCTATCGTTATCATCAACAATTTAAAGATACAAATTTCATCTCAAAAAGTATACCGTATGACTTACAAATCGGATTAAGAGGTGTTTTGCTCGTGGATAAAGTACTGTTGGAACGTTAACAGTGGCAAAGTTTCTGCAATTAACTTGACATAATTGTAAGCTAAAGAAGGACGTGACTCTGAAACAAAAGTTTTTCCTGAGTTTAAAATTACCATCACTCTTTATACAAATTACTCGGTACATCACCTCGATTTACACAGGGAAGATTCTTATGTTTGTTGTTTCAGGAACTTGGATGTCTTCAAGCCTTTATCATTGATGAGTTGAACTCTTTGTTGTGGAACCATTCAACAGGAAAATGAATTCTCTCGAATGCACGTTCGGTTTTCTCAGGAAGTCTTAATCACACACTTCCTCTTCAACTCAACATGACTCGGCAAATTTTTTCTGCTAACAAAACATTTAGGATCATGAGTTTTGCGGTTGGAGATTGAATATCAAATGGCATAGGTCTATTACATTTTGGCTCATCACAGCGAGTGCTTTTCAACACGGTCATTTTTCCCAGTGTACATGGCTTTAATACACGTATCACATCTTACTAACTCTCCTCCCTTCCAGACGGAGATATTGCGCTCTTCCTTTGAACCTTTTTCTTGAATAAAGACATGCGCAGAGCGTGGCGAAGTAGTTCAGTTTTGGACAGCCTAAAAGATGTGTTTGATAATTATGCATACGTGTGAAAAGAAAGGAGTCCAATGATGATAAAAATTATGATGATTATAAGAAATGAAAAAAAGTGAGTGTAAAGGACAAAAAAAGGAAACACCTGGAAAAAAGAAGCGCTATTTGAATCATTTCTTTCGCGAAAACATCAGATAAATATCTGTAAATGCTTTTTTGTTTCAATGTTTATGATCTAAGGTATATGAGCCCAGATTCTGCGGCCTGTAAACCGACTAGAACTCGGGAAATACATTATATCATACGATTTTTTTTGCGCAATCTATCGAATTTTTCATGATCAGTGTTTGCTGGAGTTATTCAGTGCAAATATGTTCAAGAAGTAAGAAAGTGATCTTTCCGTTACCACTTGTAATGGTTTAGTATGCAAAGTATTTAGTTTCGAACGTTCAAGAAGATTCAGATTATGCAATTAGTCCTAGAAACGAATGATTCCGTTAAAAAAAGAACTTTACCATTGGGTTATTCTTATGATTATTTATTATGATTATTTTCATACGCCACTGGAGAATTCAATTTATCCTATTTACGCCCAAAATGATCTTCGATGTCAGTCCATAGTCTTAAGCATATCTTTCTTATTTGAGGTACATACGAATATTTACAAATACTAGTAAAAATTCTTTATTAGTAATCACTCTTAATATCTAGACCATAACTCAGAAAACAACTACGCAACATAACATGTACACTGGCTTTTTCCAGATTGGGCTATATAACAATAGTCGAAATATAAGACTGAGTTTTAAATCAGGATCTATAAGTTCGTTACATTGCGGTCCCGTCCATTTGAGTCTTCAGTCTTCAGTTGTCACACTAACACAATGAAGAGCGTCTACTTACATTGTCGTAGTTAATGTTCTGAATGTTCCTGCACAATTTATCAATTTAGAATAACTGTAGTAAATAAATATTGTTTTTACTTTGTTCTTTGTGAAATAATGGGCTACAAATCATATCATTGCAGGTGCAAAATAACCAGGTTTTACAGTATGGTTGATGGCCATCCAGTTAGCCATTTGTATGTTTTTTGCATACGGCGGAAAATCTGGTTTGTGGATTGGATAAAACTGCGACGGCAGCGTACTTGGTGACGATGCGGCCCTGTGGCCATTGACTGCAGTTGAGGGCGGGTATAGCCCACTCCTCTGAATTTTTAACATTGTTTTCATGTTCTGATCCACTGTATTCATGCTTTGTTGCGGCCACGAATCGACCGAATCATGAGACAACTTTTTGACTGATTGATCCGATTGCGACGGAGGCGTGTTTCTCTTTGCCGGCTTGACTGGATCTTGCAAGGGTGGAGAGGGAATTTTTCTCTTCAGCGTACCTGGTTTGTTTTGGGATCCCGCTGACTGTTTGTTTTGCTGGCGACATTTGGCTCGTTTATTTTTGAACCAAACCTGTGAATAAACAGAAAGAAAGTTCAGTATTCTCTTAAATTAGGAAAGCATAGAACTTTTTTTCGTTTTTTTACTGAGGTAAACATCTTTTTTAGTTTTGTGTTAAAACTACAAAGAAACTTATCCTTAAAGCAACGCTCATTAGACTACAGAGAGGGGTAGGGAGAGAAAGAACATTAAACACGGGTTATTGCAACATCTAAACCTGTAATCGCGTGAAATTATCATTCGTGCGACATCTACTTCTCAAAGGGCAAGAATACAAACAAACTAAATCACGCTATCGAAATATTTGATTTTATTCTATTATAAGACCATTACAGTAATAAAATACTAAACATTATTGCTAAACTATCTTTACCATTTATTTAGGCGCCATCATAATATTTTAGATGCCGAACTTTTTCTAGAAAACAAGTTTCGTGCACATTGTGTCCATAGCCCGAATGGGGCCACCTCATCTGTCGCCGCTGGTGACATTCTCTGATAAGATTACACCTCTATTTAGTAAGCTTATAGTAATTATCTAACCAAGGGTTAAGCTATGGAAAATTAGCCGTTAATTAATTGAAGGCATTTACCAAAACCGTTCTGTCTGATCTGGTTTGTTTTGTTGATAGAGTTACGCCTTTGACAACAAGTTACGGTAATTTGTGGTCATATCCGTCATCTTCACACACAAGAATGGACGTAAGGGAGGGGAGGAACAAGAGGTTTTTTGCCTTTGATTTATATTGTTGCATCTGGCAAAAGATTATCTGTTTGTGGAAATTAGACGCCGCAGGTGATGGACTTTTCAAAATTCTATTATGACGAATGAAATGACGAAACTCCAATTACCATTACCACTCAGTGCAATTTTCGAATTTTTTCTAAAGTAAACATTTTAAATATCATATTAGGATTTGTTGATAATAGCATTTAGCTAATGACCTCTGATATTCTCTGGCTGCTTGTTCATATTCCCAAAGAGGAATATGAAACCTGGAGTGAGGAATTGTCACATAAAAAATATTGCCTATAAAAAGTAGTGGATTCGTCCATCCCATTCGGGATTGAACATTTAGAATGTGCCATGGTGTATATGCAACCATGATTGTGGCTTTAACGATGACAAAATCTCAAAAGATATACATATTGCTATGTATCAGAAAAACTGGTCTGAAATGTTTCGAAATATTTGTTTAAACTCTTTCCCGCACACCCAACCCTTTCGAACAGACTGTAACCCAATTCTAAAGGTTAAATCTCTTCAACCAAAATTGACGGCATCTTCGCTGATATTCAAGGGGAAAAGATCTGTTTTGTTATTTTCTGTTGGCCAAGGTTTTATATGATGAATATGACTGTTATTTACCTGCACCCTGCTCTCAGGGAGGTTTATTTTCATGGCCACTTCCTCTCTCATGAAGATGTCAGGATACTTTGTTTTGGCGAACAGCTCATCTAAAACTTCTAATTGAGACTTTGTGAAAGTTGTCCGCTCCCTCCGCTGCTTTCGTGGTGGTCCTGTTAAAAAACAAAAAAAAATTAATACAGCAATAGAAAAGTTAAAGTTTTTAGGCTTTGCCTCGTTTACAAAACCCCTGAACGAGCTTCTTTCTCTTTATCATGTGTACACTGCAACGCTGATTTACAGCTAAAATTTATGTTTTAAACTTTTGGAATTGAGAACAAGTTTTCATTTAAACACTGTGGAAATTGAATGTTTCATTTCCATCAATTCTATCCATCTTACCCAAATAGAGTCATCCAAGTGCTCTATCAACTGCCTTGGTCCGAGGCGGATATGAAATTCTACTTGGACTGTTCGTTTGTCCACGAACATCCTTGAACTAATTTTAACCGCTTAACTTACGCACTAAAGTTTAAGTAAGGTATACATTAGGTTTTCTTGTGTAAAGATGGGAACATTTCTCTCGCCCAGCTGGAGCACGACCGTTGAGTGGTAACCGTCACCAAAGTCGAGGAAAATGTATGAGAAGGAAGAATAATAAAACTTAGTTCATATATGTACGATCTCAAGTTTTTTATACCTTCCATTAGCCTTGACATTAGACACTGAGGACAACCCAAACAGGCTGGAACGGAAAATGCAGGCCAGGCGAACTCCATAGTGTTGCAACAAAGTAGATATCTGATGATGATGCCTTTCACTTCACGAGACAGAGTGCTTTGAGTGGAGCACAGTATTTATAGGACGTGATCAAGATTTGGAAACAATCAGAACCGTTGCCCCTAATGTTGATGAGGGGATTATACCACTATTTGTGGCTTAGCTGGCAGGATAATTCTAAGCCGACAAGAGTTAAGCCAGTCTTCAAATAACGGTATTCCGTGACATACGTTCGGGTTAAAGCCGTATCTACCGACCAGGCGAAGATTATAATTTTTTTATAACTGCCGTGGATTGTAATGTCTGCTCATCGGCGGCTAATTATGTTCCACAATGTCTAAGCACGAATGATATTTGCACGGAGATATTTACTTGTAGAAGCCTGCTGCACCTGCCCAGAGCGAGCAACAGGAATTTGACAGGATTTGGCGAAGTTAAAATCAGATAAAATATTCGAGCCCTTAGTGGGAAGTAGAGGAAGTCGATAAGCCTAAAAGCTCAAAGCGCTTTGGGGTCTTTAAACAGACTGTGTACACTCGGACAGACTCGGACAGATCTATAATAAACTTGGGAGCAGGCTGTTCCGTGTCATGCAACAGACAATTATGAAACTTAATAAACTGTTCTTCTTATTTTGGTCATTTTTCCACGTCCGTTTTAACGTCAAGCCAGTTTACAGCTATATAAAGAGACCGGGAGTCTACATATTTATAGCACTGGAACTAAACAAAAATTGGCTTATCCCTAAACCCACTTAGTGCGCTTCAAGCATTTCTGAGGAAAGATTATCCAGGTTGAGAAATATCAAAGATATTACATGGTTACAAGCGACATATAGACATGCAAGGTAACAAGACCACCCAATACAGGTCATTTTAAGTCCTTACCGTACATTGGGAACCAATCGTCCTGTAGTAAGTCTGTATTTGGCGTAGAAAAGTTGTATCCGCTCAGTGCGCACGAAGACAAGCGTCCATTCATATTTCCTCCTATCTGCCTTACACAACCTAGCGTGCGAGGAATAAAAGTGTTGTCGTAAACTTTGACCTGAAAGGGAAGTTATTTGCACGTGTGCAATCTTGTGGTGTGAGGTGTCTTGAAAGAAATCACGAAACCAGAATCGATAACAAACCCACCATTCCAAATTAGCCATGACTCTCTTCAAAAGGTCACGTCATTATCTTTAAGGTTGAGGCTAATCAGCTTGATACATCGGCGACTTCCGATGAATGATTATTTCATTGCGATCACGCAAAACAAATACGTTGATCGGCAGCTATCATTCATACACTGCGATAAGAAAATTAATCCCCAGTCTTAACGTTTCCTTTAGCTCAAGACAGCGGTAGACTGAGAACTACTCATGAGAAATTCAGATTAAGACTGCATAAAACTTCGATGACTAACTCGTTATCCTATTTCCACGTATGTAATAAATACTGAAACTCCTTGGAAGTGTTTCATTCCGGCAATGGTCCTTTTGGGTCAGTTATAATTAATATGTCATTCCTTTCACAAAGTTTGTCAAAATGAATGTTTGACCACCCGATAGAACTGCTAAATTCCTTTAAATATACCTCCTGGGTTCTGGTATCTCTTCGGCCGTGGCACTTAATGATATCTATATACAAGGTCCTCTAACGGAGAAGGCTTCGTCACATTATCTAACGCCGACAACGCCTCCATGCCTTTCCATTAACGTCTTTTTGTTTGTTATACCCATTAAAATCATATTGTTTATTATAGTGCCATTTTGCAAATGTGTATCGAAACCCAAGGCATTCATGGTTTCTATGATGCCTGGATATTTCAAAACGCTCTTTGATTAATTTGAACCTGTTAAAATGTTTTAGTAAGTTTTACAGATGTATCGTTAATTTTTCATATAACATTTCAGTTTTTCTAACATCAAGGAAAATTTCGTGTTACAACATTAACCCAAATGTTCACATGCACAGGAGAAATCAAAAGCAAGTTTAACCTTGATTTACGATGGCCACTTTCGAAAACTCGGTCGATTATATCATTTTACAATTACGTTTGTTTACAATTACGATATAATATGAAGCATTAACATCTTATATGGCTTTTCCTAACCTGTAAAATATACTCCGAGCGCGCTTCTTCTCTCAGATCAAAGTAGCAAAAGATCATGACTCTGATGCTATCTTAACGACGCCTTTTCATTTCATAAGGCCTAGCAGGCTCGTGGGTGTCAGTCTTTTGAAGACAGATGGAGGAAAATTTCCAAATTTGTGGGATGTTTGTTAAACCAAAAACGACTCCAAGTGACTGATTTGATTAGTGCAGGAAATTCGTCATGTAGTGTTGATTTAAGAGTATTTCCATGTTCTGGTAATCACGTTCGGTTTTTTCAGCAACTCTAAACAATGAAAGTATGAGGTCAGAAACATTTGTTTTGAAATAAAAAAGTTGTAAAAAATGGTACTGGCAAGATGAAAATCAAACAGACGACTTCAAAGAAAGTCCAAGCATTTGTCAGTCAACTTCTTTCCTTTGTATTTCTGGGCGTGTCAGTTTCTTCAACTGTAGTGCTGATCAATTCTCACCAGACTGTTACGAGCAATAAATCAATCGCTTTAATTTGACAAGTTTGAAATGTACAGGGAAACCTTTTATGTACAGGGAAAAAGGAAGAAAGAAAGTGATACGACAATTTCCTGCAATCTCAACGGATTGAAAGCATCTTTAAGTTTTTGGGCTGTAACGGAAAAAGAAGGAGTAGAAACTTTATTTGGTTCTTTTGGTTGAGCAAGACGAATTTCCGTCTTGTAGGAGCACAGACCTCAGTCATTAACAAAGAAGTCTGTCCATGAGAGATGTTATGGTCCCAGTTCTACTAAACATTGTTCAACTAAGGGGTTGGGGAAGAGGTGGGTTGGGAACGGGGAATTATCCCCTCGTTTTTCTACCTTTTGCAGAAAAAAATCTTTAAATTCAGCTTACAATGGGAAAGGACTGAACACAGACCACCATCATATTAAGTAACTATGTTTACTCTTTTCAAATCAGTTTTGGTTTCCTTCTGACGGAAAAATTGGTTATAAGACGCAACATGATGATTTGAAGGCTCCTTCTTACGCATGCTCTATGTTTCAAGCTGTGCAAAAGCATCAGCAACTATACGGAAAATTGTTAGTTGAAAATAAACGGCGCCTGACTTCGTGTAAACAACAAACGTGTTTGAGCAGGTCTGAAAATGTCCCACACAATGTGTCGAAAACCCTATTTCAACACTGCTTTGATGAGAGAGCTTAAGCACCACACGTTAGTTATCGCCTGGGGGATCAGAGGATTTTTTTTTTGAGGGGGGGGAAGGGGAGCTCAAATAGTTTTAAGAGGGAACGAAGGGGGAATCAGTCTTTGCTAAAAGAGTTTGAAGGGAGACTTAAGAAAATTAATCGTCAATGAATGGGAAGGGGGGGAGGGTCATTTAATTAGTGGCAGAGTCTTATGGGTAAATTCTATAGTGACACAATTAAAATCCCGAAGCCCCCCTATGAGTGTGTTAGTGCTGACCGTCCATCTGCCTTCACTTTTTTGCATAAGAAAAGTATAAGTTGGAAATACTGACCACTTATTTTATCTCAAGAAGAAATGAAATATCTTGTGGTGCTAGCAATCACGAGATCCCTCTAAAAAATTGCAAACCGAACTGTGATTTTTTCAGAAGGAGCAGTGATCCTCATAGCGAGAGCGCGCACAAATTACAAATGTACCTCTTGTCAACGAAGAAATAGCAAGCTGAAATTTAACATGCACAGACGTTTGCGTGAGTACAGGCGTGATCCTAAACCGTAAAAATGTCGACGTCTGTAATTTTATCGGTTAAATTTTTAATGCCTTTCGCTCGTCTGAAAAACAAAGCGGCAACATGAATGGACATGTTTTTTGAGGATACATTTGGTTGAAGCTTTCGTTACTTAAATCCGCAGAAATTTACTGAATAAGGTTTGAAATGTTTCTTGTAAAGGAATTCCCTTTCTGTTTTCGAGATATCCTGTTCTACCTTGGAACAGGATATTACTGTTTCTTTGGTTGTTTTGGCGGTTTGTCGTCTGGTTTAGGTCAGAATTTCCGTATTCAGCTCAACAAGCCATGTTAATCACGGAAAGAGCGAAAAAGTAGCTGGCAAGAATCTTTAATACACGACACTAAGGAACCCGTAATGATCCATATATTTGTAATAGAGTAATAGCCTTGTCTTCCGATTGGTAACCTATCTCTAAGATATTCGACCAAGAAAACGCGTCAGAAAAAATTGTCAGAGCTATTTTCGTCTCAGGATCTATCGCGTGATTCTCGCTGTCTTTCAACGTGTACGAACACTTCGTTTTGACAGTCATGAATATGAAAGGAAAAAGTCGCGCTATGAAAACTATGTCTACCTTGTGGTCAGATAACTTCCTCATTGGAGAAATTATTTCACGTTCATGATAAGGTACCTTCTTCTCTATTTCGTTTTCAAAACTATATTTCTTCGTCTCAGCAAAAGCAAAGCAAAATGTCAGAATTAACTCGTATGTTTTCTTTACCCTCTGTTGTTTTCACCCATACGCTGTGGTGCCCCTATGTTTTTAAATGAAGACTTATTTTATGTTACTTTTTCATCTATGGCCCTTTATTTAGCTCTCTACCTTTTAAATCGCGCCCAATACCCCTGTGGACTTCACGGCTTAAATATTTTATGACTGTACGATTCCCACCTTTTTCTTTTCATCTAGAAAGCAAGATGTCTTATGTTCGATACGTAACTCTTTTTAACAACCCCAGACTTCCGTCATTATCTGTGCCAACACTGTAAATGAAGCACTCTGTTTTCAAACGTCTCCAATTTGCAAAAGGCGTTTCGGAATAAAAAACGGCTCAAGGTTTTCCAACGTTTTAGTGCCTACACCAAGCTTGGTTGGGCCGAAACGACTTTTGAATAAATTGGACGACTTTTGGTGGACTGAAAAACTTTCGTGGACTAAAAGACTTTTGCAGACTGAACGACTTTTGTAGACGGAAAGTCTACCGTGTGGACTGAAGTACATTTGTAAGGATCCTTACCATGTAAGGTCTTCTGTGTGGACTTAGGGACTTTGGTGTCGTCTAAAGGGCGACTTCCATGTGGATTGGACGACGTTTTTGGGAATAAACGACTTTTGCGGGTTAGAAAACGTTTTTTGGATCGAACAACTATTATGAAGACTGCATGACTTTTGTGTGGATTAAACGAACCGTTTGGCCAAGGTTACTGCAGTGTTTGTTTTAATGTCCCTCGTTAGTCCACTCGGGCTAAATATTTTGACAACTGAATAAAGGTTCTTCTCTTCTCTTTTTAAGTGGCAGGTCGAGTTTTATTAATGTGGTCTAAACGACTTTTGTGTGGACGGGTCGTTTGACGTGTCGATTGGTTCTGTGGACTAAACAACGTTAGTGCGAGCGGGACGATATTCGTGTAAAAATGGACGACGTTTCTGTAGATTAAACGACTGTGGGGGCTGGTATGGTTGAGGTAAGATTGTTTGGCCGTGAGGGAGACTTAATTAAATATAGAAGTGAACTGAGAGTATAATAAACTTCGTATAAAACAAGATAATTTGGTTTTATCAATTGTGTTGATGAAGTAACGGTTGGCCACCGCAAAGAGTTTCTTAAGGTAAATTTGCGAGTGTTAGCCTTTCGATTTGCTGATTCTTTCAGTGGATCTCCAATTCAGATCGGTCTTTTAATTAAAAAATAACCCGTAGAAAAAGCTTTGGTTCTCAAGGAGATTCCGTCGTTTAGAAGATGACGCTTATAGTGCCTAAACTATTGTGGAGGTTCTCTTAAAGTTCTCTTGATGGTTCCATCTTAAACTCTTCAACAAAAGTTGATAATTCCCAAGTAGGGTTGACCTTTGCCTAGGAAAAGGCGCACATGGGTTTGAAATATATCCTACATATACGACTTCGTCTGAACAGTTGTCTCGTAGTGTTGTTATAGTTGATAAAATCGTGTTAAAACTTATGACAGAGTCTGGGAATGTTTTTCCAGTTACCCCAAATCTCATCAAAGGTGAGACTACGGGGCTCCTTAAAAGTGGCTTAAGTCTCAGGGCTGATGCCATAGACAATAACTAACGGAAGTATATAGCTTAAGAAAACAACTTAATGGTTTATTCGTCGAATATCATAGTTTCAGAACAATATTTAATTCCTTTCTCAGTACATATATTTTGACATTTATATCATTTTGTGCATTGTTGGCATTCTATAGATCCATCTAAAAGCGGGCACAAAAAAAAAATTCATTGAAGTCACGATGGTGGCTCACATTGTTCTTTATTATGAACAATAAACTTAAATCATCTTTATAAATCTTAACATTGCGAAAGACGTGTACAGATGCTACCTTTAGGTTCGAAGGAACAAACCAGTTGGATCGTAACGTCTTTATCTTGTTTATAATTGACGCTGAAGGTGCCTTAAATATGCTACTAGGAATAAGATCAGACTCAATATAGGCTAGGTAGAGCTCGATAAGATTATCCGAAATTTTGAACTATACTTACTGGTGAAAAGAAAAATGAATACCTGCTTTGTTCATATTTAAAAGCTTATGAGGCGGAGCACTGTGTTAAGCTGTTACAGGTTACTTAAACCAAATGAAACCTAAACACACATGCGGAAATCTGGCGCAGAGTTAATATTTTTTAAGAAGTGATGTTAATGGGAAATGCTAACAAAAGAGGATATGCAGGAGCTGTTTGAATAGTTAACATCTAAACTTCTTTCCTGCTCAGCCGGTAATAGTTATTCTATTCTCACCAGTTCGAGGACGAGCTTCTTTTTACATCTAATATATACAGCCATATGGCATAATACACACTAAGAATTTCTTCTGAAGAGTTATAAAGCTTGGTGGCAAATTTCATGAAATATTGGAACTTTCAGCACATCATAGTGGATTCTAATCGATTCCGGGACATCTCATTTGAGACGGGTCCAGCATTTGACATATAGGAGAAGTACTGTTCGTGGCTTGGGTAGAAATGAGCTTGCGGTGACGAAGTGGGCCCAAAATTAGACGGAGGGAATCCATTCATTCCGTTATTGATAAATTTTTGATAGTTGGCCTGTCTGTGGAAGTTGGCCATTTCTTGCATATTGTGTTTGCTAGGCCAATTGGGACCATTAAAAGTAAAGTTGTTGAACTGTTGAGGGGGTGCCTGTGCTATGGGGGATGGCTTTGGCGATGGATCTTGGACATGCTGTGAAGCAGGTGGCGTGGGGGGCTCTTTCTTGGCTTAGCTGCTGTTGGTTTAGGCTTGCTTGGGGCGCCTTGTTGTTGCTTGTTTTGCTGTCGAAACTTAGCCCTTCTGTTTTTAAACCATACCTAGAAAAGATAAGGATAGGATTAGCGATCAAAATGTTAGAGGAAAATAATTTTAAACAGTTTTCGAGTCATTCATAAAATATGGAAAGCGAGGCGACAAGATTTGGATTTACTTGGTTGCTGAGCTAAATGAATTTGCCATTACATTGAGTTGGGCCAAAAAATATAAATAATTTGTACTAAATAGAATGATTTAACACTAAACGTAAATGGTTGAAATGCCACATTATTTGAAAAAAAAAAATTAAAGTCGAAAAAGTTTTATGATATTTTAAGATAAAAAGGTTCAAATAGGTACATCAAATTTAAACTGTAGTAAGATTTCATGTATTCTACCAGGCTAAGGCTAAAAGCAAGATAAAATTAAAAAAAAATAAAAGCATGTAGCGTTCGGACAAAAAGCAGGGAGTAAACGTCGCGTGAGTCCAAGGTGTGATAAGTGATACCAAACACTTGAAAGGCCACCAATTCAAACAGAGCTTCCAAAACTCCGTGTCTCAACTCACGCTAACGAAAATCACGAATTACTCTATTTGTATCGCAATATTTAAGAAAAAGCATCAAACTAAAGACTTGAATTACTTCTGTTTAATCAGTTTGCTTCATTTTGCTTTCTTCCATAATTTTTTCGCCGGTTTTCACTAAAAACATGTTTCGTGCCATTTTTCAACACGTGTTCAAAGTTGGCCCTATCTGTTCCCGACGCGGGCGTTCTGCTTTAAGATAACAACTCTTTGTAAACAAAAGAGTTAAATTCAGTAACGTTGATAAACAGAGTAATTTGTGGGTAATTAAGTACTTATAATCCGCTATCACCCAAGTAACGCCCCTAAAAAACAAAGTCAAGAAGATTTTGGGCATATCTATCATCCTTATAAAATGCTAATTGTCTCCGTAGGCCACGCAATGTAAGACATGACCAAAAATAGCTCGAAATATTTGAGAGCGACGATTAAAATGGCTAGGCGGCGACAGTCCTTAGTTGATTACAATATACATTAGCAGAGAATTAAAAGCTCACTACTTCGTCGTTTTAAGTAACGCAGATATCAGTGAAGCACACCGGTGATTCTAATGGCAATATGTCAAATTATTTGATGCGGGGAAGACGCATGAATGATTCTGTGAAAGTGGTGTGACTTAAAACTTGCTCTGGCCAATAAAATCTAAACAACAAAAGAATTAGGAAGATTCAAGAAAAGCATGAAATCTGTCAACTGTCTTGGAAGCAACACATTTTTTTCCAAGTAGGACATATCCCACAACAGGGGCCTGGTTCTCCCAGTTACGAGAATACACAAAAAAATAATCCTTTTGTCTCAAGACGGATCTTTGCTCTCACCTGTACTCTGCTTTCCGGAAGATTAATTTTCATAGCAACTTCCTCCCTCATAAAGATGTCCGGATATTTTGTTTTAGCAAATAGCTCGTCCAGAATTTCAAGCTGAGCTTTGGTGTAAGTCGTACGCTCACGACGTTGTTTTCGTGGAGGTCCTAGAACAAAAGAGGACAACTATTTAATTAAAAAAAATTATAAAAAACGGTTACATGAAGAAAAATATACTTTGTAAAGAACTGATGGGATTGTGTTAGTCTGTCTTGCGTTCGATTTCAAAAAGAAGCAATAATTTTACAATTGTCTTGGAATTTCAGCTCTACGCAGGTTTCAGTGGATGGATCAACCACATTTAAACGGGTTCTCAAGGAATAAGTTTCCAATTATTCTTGTCCAGTTCCATTTTGAAATATATTTATGGAGTCCAACAATCAGGTAAGTCAGACCCGACCCTCCTACATCTAGGACTTTCATTCCTTTCCGTCATTTTAGAATCCAGTTGTGCCCATCATAATTCATATTTCGTAATACTTATCCTCAACAAGAATCTTCGAGAAGCAAGCTCAAGTACTCGAGTGCTACAGCTGTAGCTGCTTACATTCAACTCGCTGCTCTCAAACTTATAAAATGGATAATACGATCCTCTTTGGGTCTTTGTAAGTGACTCTTCCTAAATTTTCAAGTAGACATTTCCACCGTTTGCCAAACATCTCAAATCCCAAGACAAACTTTTTCGATCACAAAACATAAGAAAGTTAATACCTTCAAAAAACCTTGACGTTATACATTGGGGACAGCCAAGACACGGCATTAAACCTGGCCAAGCAAACTCCATATTGCAAGCTAACCGACTTCAAGTTTAGTTTAGTCCCAAAGCATTAATTTATATCTGTCTTCTTATACCAAGCAAAACACGTACGAGTGGTGGGCTTGGTTATGTGATTGGGTTGTATATACCGCTTTTTGTCAGCCTTAATCTCTATATCAATTAGGAAAATAGCAAACCAGCTCTTAAGGTGGCTGTCCAATAAGGGATTATCCAGGGTTTTTCTGACAGACTCCCGCATTTGAATGGATTATAATGCTGATGCATAAAAAAAATTGTCAAACTTACAGCTATACCCTCATGTGTTACTCGACGAGTGGGGAACTCATTGAGCAAACTTTGAAGAGGTAACGATATAAACGACGTGAACAGAAATAATACAAATGAACACTAACTAGTGCAATTATGTGCAAGAAAAACACTACTTTTTTTTTTTTACTCCATTCTGGAAAAACTCAAGTGTAAATTCAGTTGACAATGCAAAGATTCCGTTTACTACATCATTAAAAGAGGAACCTTCATTTTCCTTTGTGACCTGATGTTTAAGAATCTCAACCAATCGTGATACTGACTTATTTCGAAACTGGAACAGCTCTGCTTGCATTTATGTTATTATCCCAGGGATTTGAAAAAACCATTGGATTAAAGTCATAAACAGGAAAAGACTAGGAAATTATGTTAAAAAAAAATCTATAAACACGCTAATAAGGTATGAAATCCTACGCGGTCACGTTATAAAAGTGGCAAAACGTGATCTTTAAGACAGAAAGATAGTGTAGCTGAGCACTGATTTCTCAGTAGAGATTTCCATGTTGTAAAATGTGAGTTTTGTAAGACGATAACAGTGATTATAATTTGTTGGGAAATTTTCAAAATGTCAAGTTCAGATGTACATATCTTATGCTTTAAGGTCTCGGAGGTGAAGTTATATTTTTCAGTGGAAATCTTTGAAATTCTACTTGATAAATCTAAGGACAAAGAACTTCTGTTTTAGTTGTCTTTCTATGGCTGTTCATTTTCATCAGAGACTAAACAATCCTTTACGGGAGTCAGTCGAGAACGGTTAGCCTTAAAGCCACTTAGCACAATAGGAAAGATTATCAGGATTGAGACCAAATTTATGACATCAAGGCACGCAACCAAATCAGAGGACATTGTTTATCACTGCACTCTTACCATACATCACAGCTTCGGTCGGGTCGTAAAAATCCATGCTCTGTGGACGACTGTAGTTGTACCCGTTCATTGTACAGGGTGGCAAACGTCCAAAAATACCATTCATTTCTGATCGTGTCTGATGTTCCGCAGTAACTATTGTGTAAGCAGGAGAAACTTAATGTTAGAATCACCTATTTGACCCTGTGGAAGGAACATTCTCATGTGACCTACTGGTATTGTCCTGTTTTGAGAAAGAAAAATGTCAGTGATCGATATGACAGTTGGCAAATTGACATTTCTTCTACCGGTCCATTTTGACACTTAATAAATGGCGTTATCTTTCGATAAGATGGGATAAATATGGTTATCAGTCTGTTGACGAGAGATAATCTCATCACGGGCACGCAAATTTTTAAACGGTAAGCCTCCCTGCTACGATCTCTGTTCCGTATCATGCACCTGATGATGCACGTGATTTGAGTCACTCTCATAGTGTGTTCTTTGTTTCCCCACTGCGTGATTCACGGTTCCTTTATACTGGAAATTAACCAGCTTTAATTTTTCTGTTTCATCAAATAAAATCCACACAAACGTCTCCCATCTTCGACCGTTTTTACTCCTTTTTCGTTCGTTTTAAATACACTGAGTTTTCAAAGTATTCTCCATACTATTAAAGTATCTAATGCAGTTTTATTCATCGAAAATATAACTCATGTATAATGACGCAATTTCTTTAAATACTACCAACACCGAGAATACCTCTTATTCAATCATTTTTTTTGTTCGTTGTAACTACATCAGCTTTGCTATAGTGTCTGCAAGAAACTGTGCGAAAGAACTCCATAATTTGTAAGCGCCATATTACAGGGAAAAATAGAGCAACTGCGGCTGTATCTATTTACGATGAGTAGTTCACCATACTATAAGCGTTTTTGGAGAAAAAATAACATCTTATTCGAATCTTCAAAGCCAAATGAACATAGGAAGAAAAAGAGGTAAAAATCTTCTTTTTTTTTTGCGGAACGAAGTTCACTTTGTGATTCTCCTGCCCTTTAAAAAGCAGAGGACGCTCGTAAATCTTGACACATAATAATGCCGTCTTTCTTACGAAAGTTGCACGTCTGCCAATCGATTTCGACTTAAATCAAGTCTACACAGTGTTTGAATATAAATCTCCACGACCGTAAGAAGATAACGTACATGTTTTCACGGCTGCTGAATTATAAACCTCACCGCTAAGTGTTTCCAAAATTCTTTTACAGAAAAAAGGGAATAGAAAGTTTTCACATTTCCAAAGTTTTCATATTTTCATAGTAATGATAGTAAACCTTAGATCCCTGCGAAAGTCCAGCTAGGGAATTTGCGTTAAATATACTTTTATTACTTTATAGCTGGACAAAGAAAACCTGTTCTTAATGAGTTCAATTTCTGATTCTTCAAAAATCATGATCCCGTTGACGATTATTGTTGGTGAGATGCCAAAAGATAACATTTTATCGTCATTTTGTGGCCTCCAATGCTCGGCCTTTGTCAACGCATTGAAGACGCCAAATAAAAGTATCTAAAACTTACGACGATCATCTTCAATAATAAACTTTCACAGGATATGTGTGGTTTAAAAATTTGAAACTCACTGCAGCACCATTTAGATCGTCATATATTGATCAAAATTGGCAAATGTTATGTCTCTCACCTTAAAATCTTAAGTACATTGCCACTAAAAGAGAAGTGTAAACTTTCGAGTTGTTGAGTAGCAGATGGGAAGAGCATGGCTTTTCAAACAAGTTTATTTATAGTTCTGCTTATTTCCGGACCAAATATATATTCTATGGCAAGATATCAATGGATAATTATCACGTTCTAGTTATATTCTACCTTTATTATTAGATAAAAATTTAGTTTTTCGAGAGACTACTCCCTGGAATTAATTCACTTTTCTGGCGAGTGTTGCTTATCGAATATTAGAGCAAACGACACTCGGGAAAATGCGAAGGAACATTTACCCTAAGTTCATGGTATTTGTCGTTGTCGAGGTCTGTTTAATGAAATGCTCGGGAAGAGATAAGCTGGATGAACACCAGATTAAATTAATGTCTGTGAAGCAAAGTGAACTTAACACAACGAGAAGGAAACATAACAAAAATGCGATTCGTAAATAAATTCGTACAAACAGAAGACAAGAAAATTTTACTCTTATCACGGGATATATACTAAAAACTTGAATGGGTGCAAAAAGTATTTCTCTAATTTTATTTCGCAAGAATGAATTATTTCGCAACTTCTAATGGGCGTGACGTTGTCATATCGCAACAGATATAGTATCAAGGAAATCTGGAGAATTCAACATTGAGCTGCAGCCAGAATAAACGAAAACGCGTACCGGACGGATAAACACATGCACGTAATCCTAAAAAATTTGACGTTTTCAAAAACGTCACGGAACAGACTGGCCAAACACCGGCATACATCACGTACTAAGAATGAAAACTGATCTTTTTGTAGTAACTATGGAGGATGGATATTTTGCGGGGGATTTTGGCAACATTTCAGTGAGTATGTTTTAATTAGGTAACTAAGTTACACGCCTAAAACAGCCGAAGTTAATGTCAAAGGGAGGAAAAAGAAGAATGAGGAGCGAACAGAGATGTCCCTTGCATGGTCATTTCCGATGAAGACTATGTTACAACAAAAAATTTCATGATAAATTTCCCATTTCAACTATGGAATTTTTTTCAATTTTCACAAACCAAATTCAGAACTCTTGTCAATATATTTTGATTTGGTGAAACTGTCAAAAATCGCCTAATAAGCCCCAACAATTAAAAGCTAGATTATCTTTATTAAATCTCTTTAAGGAGTGTTTTTGTGCCGAAGATACTTAACTTTCTGGTCGTAAGTTTTTAAAAAATTTAATATGCACTGAGTATGCTCATTGAGACATTCTGATGATTTGTGAAGATCAAAGCCTCAATTTGAGCTACTTTGACCGACAAGTCAGAGCAATGCAATACTACATCTGTAAAGTGCTGAAAGCACTAATTGGGCCATTGAGCCTTTTAAAGTGAAAGACGTCTACGAAATTTATGTTCACATTAATTTTTTTGTTTCAGTTTACTAACCTTAGTCCAAAACTACACGAGATTTTTCCAATAAGTTACAAACTCCTTCTCATTTCTCTCTTTTCCCGACGGGAATGTAGTGTTGTTCGTTGCTGATGTTGTCTTAACTGAGAGTTCGTGCAAGCATTACAATTATCTTTGAATCAAGACTATAATTAGATCACTCTGTGACGTCAATCAATTTAGGAAATAGTGTCTGCGAGGAACATCCACGACCGACCACATCTTCCGGATGTAGCTCCATGAAAAACTTTTCATGTTCCATAAAAAAATCAATTAGTCTTTAAAAATTTATGAGAGGATTTATGACATCCTTACTTAACCACTGCCAAGCTTAGCTTTTAAAAACCAAAAACACCAAACAGGATAACAAATCACCCATGGCAACATATTTTGTCTAGGGCCAACTAGTAGGAGACATCGTTTACATTGAACAGTCAAGAGAACATATCCAGTGAATAGCATGGTGATGAGATTGATCCCAGGACCACCGCATTGCGAACCAAATGCTTTGGCCTCTTGGTCATGTTCCCCCCTACTAAACCTTGAACACCTCCTCCCCTCCTCCCCGAGCAAGTTTCGCACAATCTAACCGAGGCTCTTCTGCCTTTGTTAACTTTTCGCCTTTTCTCCGCTTTTGTTTAGTTACAATGGTAAGTTATGATCAACCAGACCGTTAATAGCCTCATAGGTGATAAAAAGGTAGATCTTAATTGCTGGTGATAGGTTGGTTTACAAAACAAAACAGAAAGACAGCCTGTTTCCCTTTTCAATGATTCAAACAAAATTTAAATTAGTAAACCTCGAACTGTGTAAACTTTGCTATCCTCTTCAATAAAGGAACCTACAATTGTGCTGTTCTTTGGTTGTGAAAATTTTGATGGGTCAAGGTTATGAGCTGTCATGTCAGATAATCCATGACCTATCTGTGTGGCCCCTTGTCCTACAAACACTTTAGAATTCATGAAGAATTGGAAATAGAGAGGACCTTTTCAGTCAAAACTAACTTAATCTCTTCAATGTCTAGCCACGTGGGAACTTTGATTGTATCCGTGTGGAAAATATCAAGGTAGCTCTACACATCTTACAATAGCGCAATATTTTAGAAATAAAAAATAAGTTTTAAAAAGTCCTATCTTGGAAAGATAATGATTTTAACAAGTATAAACGGAAGAACTATGATTGTTTTTACAGGTTGTCGCTAGCCTTGGCCTTGGTACTTAACTGGTTTTGTCAAATAACAAGATCACATTATAGCACGTTGTAACCATCAACAGTTTTATGGTGGTAGTATTGTTCAATGAAGGCATAAGTGATCTGATACGTGCAACTCAAACGATGCCATCATCAAAAAAAAAAGAAAATACTGTCGAAATTAGTATTTTTTTCATAAAAATTTGTGGATTTTTTTCATTTGCCTGATTACAAAGAAAAGTCATCAACGATTTAATTTTTTTTTCTTATTTTAACTACCAGGTTCTTTTCTGTAAAGTTTACCGAAAAAAAAAATTTGAAAAACAAACAAAAACCTTAATTGAAAGCATATAATTTACCAAAATATCAGAATATTTCTATCATACTTTGTAGTTTGCCTGAAATTTACCATAACTGAAGCAACTATTTTTCAGTTGCTGTACTTAACAGTATGGTTTTCCTCATTATTAAATGAGGTTAT